GCACCTGGTTCTCTAGTCCGGGAGGCTGATCTCCGTGGACAAGGTCAGAGGTTCTCAAACATGAATGGGCATCCGTGTCACCTGGAGAGCTTTGAGAAACACAGCTGGCTGGGCCTCCCCCCAGGATTTGATTCAGGAGGTTTGGGTGGGGCCTAAGAACAAGCATTTCCAGGTGACGCCGGTGCTGCTGCTCTGGGGCCCACACTGTGGGAGGCACTGGATGCGGACTGCTGATTCCTTGTCCTCTGGCTCCTGGTGGGGTTTAGCCAATGGAAAGCACAGGCAGCAGGTGGGACAAAGAGAAAGGTATGCATCAAGGTACTTCCTCCTTCTGCTCCTTTGGTGGGTCCCCATGCACACGATCGAGTCATGCTTCTCTGGGCCCTGGTCGCCTCTCTTTGCTGAGTCCTCTGGCCTGCATGTAGTATTAGCCCCAGGGTGCTTCACTGTTCCCGCGTCTCCCTGCACCTAGCTAGCGCGCACCTTTGTAAAAACTCATGTCATTAAGTCTCCCCAAACCCTCTTATTTGAGGGTCCCATCTGTTTCCTGGTGGGACCCTGCCTGATTCCGGAAGGGAAGCATCATTTTGTAAAATCTGCAACCCCCCAAGATCACTTCCTCCTTCCTCTCCTGGGTGTAATTTCCTGTTCTACAACTGCCTCATGGGGAATGCTCTGGTGTTCTTGAAATTTCCTCTTGTTCAGTCCCCGCTGCCCAGAGCTACTTGAAAGAAAAGAGCCCTCTGTTCTGTTTTCCCCATTCATTTCCTTCCCTTTCAGTTCCTTTTCATTCCCAGGCCCTGGAAACCCCACGGTCTCCATTACTAACTTCTAAACAGAACCCTGTGGAAGAAAGGGCTTATTTGGCCAAGATTTCTCTTTCATTGTTTCATTTGCAGGTGGTGCCCTGCCCCCTTTGCTTTCCCGCTAATCTTTCCCTTCTCCCGGCCTGTTCCTTGTCCTCCACTCCAGCCCCTCTGGCTTCCTTAAGATGCTAATCACTCCTGGTTTTCCTCTTGTGCCAGGGATAGTTCTAATTATCAAGCCTGGGCAGACTTCACCTTCGGGAGGGACACCTCCAAGGGCAGGAAGACTTCCTGTCCCTCAGGCTGTTTCTCTTTACTGTTCCCATGGCAACTCCAGGACTTCTCTTTTCTTCCTAGGTTCCCTGTAGGTCTTGCACAGCTTTAGAACCCACTGGTTACCTTGGCACTGTCCCTGCTTCAGCCCTGATTTGTTGCAGAATCATGGACCCTTAAACTAGAAAGGAGACTCGGGTTTATTTAAGCCCAGCCAGGTGGTGTCATGAGGTGTATGAATTCCCTCCGCCTCCGTCTGGGTTTCCCCAGAAGTAGATGTAAGATGAGGATTGCAGTGCGAGGAATTGACGTAGGAGGAGAGGGGTCACCCCCGAAAGGGGGCAGGGAAACGCTAAGAGAAGGCCACCCAGAGAGAGTGCGTTTTCAAGGCCATTCCTTCCGTGGGGAACTGCAGCCACCTCCGCGGGGATTTAGGAAAAGGTGTGAAATACACACCCAGGTGAGGAGCTGGGCTATTTCCTGGTCCTGGGGAAACCTGCCTTGTGCGTGGACAGAGCATCCTGCCCAGCTTTGGAGAAAGTCCCCAGGCAAAGAGACACAGACAGGGCAGGATGAAGGCGAAGCAAGGGAGGCACTTGCTCTCAGGGTTGTGCAGGTGCAGGGTCAACGGCTGAGAGGGAGGAACCTCCTTGAGTGTTGCAGACTGGGTGTCTCACCCACCTTACCCTCATCCTGGCCCTGGATGCTGGTACTGCCAGCTGGCGTCGCTGCACCGGGAGGTGGTGAGGCCGTGGGGTGTGGGTGGGACTCAGACAGCACCTTCTGCACCCCAGTGGCAGAAGTCTAACCCCTTCGTTGTTCTCCCTGCTGCCTGGGATCCAGCCCCTGTTCTGCTCATTTAGGTTCACTGCCCTCTTTGTCACTAAGAGACATTATTTGGACGTCACTCTGAGTATCATCTTGATCCCGCCTTCCTCCATCCATCCTTTTGGGTGTTCTCTATTTTATTTGGGAAGCCAGAGGGAGAGACCCATGGGTCAAGGCCTGTGGGGTCTTGCGGAGAATCTGTGTTTCCCAACATTCATTCCTATTTACTGAGCACCAACTATATGGCAGTTTGGGGGACACAGAAGCACAAGACAGTCGTGGTCCTGCTGTCACAGAGCATCTACTTTTGTGAGGGAGTCAGGCAGTCAACTGAGAGTCATGCAAATGCCTCCAACACCACAGTGATGAGGAGAGTTAAGGAAAAGTGCTCTAGGAGTGAATACTGGGGTTGTGTGCATATTCAGAAGATCTGAAGGATTCCCTGAGGAAGTGGCGACTGAGCTAAGATCTGAAGAAAAAGTAGAATGAGTAGAAGAGAGGAGGAAAAGGCACTTTGATAGAGAGAACAAATGTGCAAGGCCCTGTGGCATAGATGATCCTGGAAAGCTCCAGGGGCTGAAGGAAGGCCAGTGTAGCTTGTAGAGGAGACCATTATGAAGAGGACACAGTGGGAAACGAGACCTGAGAGGCGGCTAAGAGACTCTGGACAAGGCGTGTTCATGAGCAAAGGGCAAAGTTTTCAGTAGGAAGATGGGAAGATGACATGATCCAATTCAGGTCCCTCTGGCTTCTGTCAGGATCAGATAGGTAGACAGTTGGGGACAAAAATGGATATGGAGCAACCAAGAAGGAGGCAGGGCAGAGACCAGAGGAGAGCCGGTGATGGCGTGGGCAAAGTGCTGAGAGCAGAGGGTGAGCAGTGGGGTCTGGAGAGATACACAGCTTTGCGTGGCCCCTCATCCTTGGCCCCCACAGGCTTTGGCCCTACTACCTGACCCAGCCTGGGTATCTCTGTCTCTCAGGAAGGCAGGGTCTCTTGTCTGTGCACTAGTCATCTATTTTTTCTTATCTGCACAACACCTCTGGTAGGAAAACATCCTTGTACCCATTTTACAGACAGAAGATTAAAGCTTAGAGTGATCATATAATGTCTCACAGCCTATAATTTAGTGACCATATCTGGACTCACAATCTAATAGGGGCAACAGACATGTGACCAGGTATTTTAGGGCTCAGTCCTCAAGCAGAGGATGGTTGGAGTGAGCAGCCACGTGTGCCCCAAATGGGAGCCCCCTAGGAGCAGAGGCCCAGAGTCCCGCAGGGACTGGCTCATAGGATGCCCACACATCATAGGTCTCAACACACATTTCCTGATTGTTTGAATATCTCTTTCCAATGCTTTGCTTGCAAGAAATCTTGCTGTCTGCATTACTATCATCCAACAGACAAATTACAAATGTTTCTGATTAGTTCTGCCATTCATAGCCCATTCCTAAATCTGCACAGGAAACAGCTAAGCTGAAACTTCTGCCTCCTTCTTCCTCGACAAGCTGCCTGTATCTTATGCTTTTCTCCCTCCAAGCTTTTTCTTAGGCAATGTCTAGATAGTTAACAAAACACTAAGCTGTGCTAGAAATAATCTGTTCTTCATGATCTTTTTTTCTTTTTCTTTTTGGATGAGCTGGGTTACCCTGAGAGCTGGGACCAAGGAATGCTATGCACCTTGGTGAGATGTCAAAGGCCCAGGTGAGCTACACCGTGGCAGGCAAAGGTGTAGAATATTAGAATATGTACTCAGCACTTTGCACGAGGTAACTGTCCTCTCTGTACCTGTTGCGTGGAAGGCTGCACACACCAATGTTTGACAGTGACCATACTTGCGTGTGACCTGATATTTCGTTATATGGAAGCCTGTCTCTCTCCCTCTTCTCTAGGAACTCCAGCATGTACCGTCACACACAAGTATTGTTACTGACTTTGTTCAGGCCTTACCATCCCTTGCTGGGACCAGTGCAGTCGCCTCTTGACTGGTTCCTCTGTTTCCTGCCTCTCCCAATCTAATCTACCCTCCCAATCATCTACCCGATAGATCTTTCCAAAATGGACATCTGATCATGCCTCCCTCCCCAACTGGCTTATTCCATGAGCCACATGGGTAGTCAGTGAATTCTGGTTAAAATGTGGTGGGATGATACATCCACCACACTGCTTATCCATCCACACTGCTTATCTGTGACTCTGATAAAGTGAACTCCAAGCTATGAGGAGGAGGATGTTGGGCACTAAGGCCAAGGGTTCCATGTACCTTCTTTCAACGACCCTATCTCTGTTATTATCGTCATTTTAAAGGTGAGAAAGTGAAGTTCAGAGCAGCCAGGAAACCTGCTCTGGGTCCCAGAGCCGGGACAGAAGCCAGGCAGTTTTTTTCTGCAGAGGCTCCAACCGCTCTGCATCACATCCCGTCAGGGCTGCCTGGAGCTCATTGCCAAGCAAAGCAATGTCCTTCCATGCCTCCCTGAGCTACATGCAAAACCTGCCTGCCCCTGCAGGCTCAGTGCCAACAAATGCCTGTGCCAATGCAGCCCTGAGCAGTAGGCACTCACCTTAGAGCCTCTGCCCTACTGGTGGTGGGGTCTGGCAGAAGTCATGATGCCCTAAGCTCAGAGCTTCTGGCTCCTTCCGGGCATCAATCCTTGCTTGGGACTCTGCCTTCTGAGAGGAGCACTATTCTCTCACCTGGGTGTCCTCAGCCCCTCCCTCACGGGCTGGATCTTGCTAGTACCCCGAGTGACTTATAAGGTGGGACTCTGCACTAGAAGAACTGCTGGGAACAGGAAGGATTCCTTTGCCTGGTCTTCCTTCCCAACCTGAGCAAGTCTTGAGCAATGGGCAATGCCAGGCCAGACGCAGCTTCCAGAGACTTCCTGGATCTACACTGCTTGGACCCAGCTTCCTACCTGCCTCCTGGGCCTGAGGTCAGCCATGCTCTGTCACCCAGGCTGAAATACAGCTCCCAGCTTGGCATGTTGACCCAAAGCTGGAAACACCAAGGATAACTTGACAACAAACTCTAGGTAAATAATAGTAATGGTTTGGTTTCCAAAGCCTGGGACCTCCCAGAAGGGCACTTACAGGATATGATGTTTCCATATCGGTTCTTATTGCGATTTTCATCCTCCTTGGCTGTGTCCCATGAAGCAGTCTGCCCCTCTGGCAAGGCCTACAAAGGAAGGACAGAATGGTTAGGATGGCCAGAGATAGAAGCACTTTGCAGGTGAAGATGAACCAGTGGGGAAACAGCACCCGCTGTAGTGGGTCACTCAGCATAAAGGGCTGTGTGGTGGTGGATGGGGCCTGGGAAGAACATAGACTGGGCCTCTCCACGGCCTTATTTCCTCCTTCGTTGGCTCAAATGATACTGAGGTCTTCTGTGTGCTATGAGCCCAAATCTGGTCCAGCAGGGGAGTCATTCATTCATTCATTCGACAGATATTTATTGTGCCCCTAGTATGTGTTTGGCACTGTTCTATGTAGTTGGGACACAGAGAAATAAACTAAGTGCCCCTTAAGCTTCCAGTCCACTGGGAGGTGTAGCAAATGAACCAGAAAACATGTAAGTTTAGATGATGGAAAATGTTATGAAGAAAATGAAGCTTGGAGAAGGGATAGTATAGAGGATGAGGATTGTTTCAGATTACACAGTCTGGGAGGGCTTCTCTGAGAAGGTAACATCTAAGCTATGATGTGAAAAGCCACTCATACCAAGAAATTAGGAAGCACTTTCTAGGCAGAGGGAACAGTAGATGCAGAGGTGATAACCAAGGACCAAGGATGAGGCAGGGAGAGCAGTGACAGGAGCACCGGAGAGGCTGGGAGAGTTAGGATTAGAGGGGGCACTGCGGTCACTGGTAACCAGCTGGGTGTTACTCTAAGTGTAATGGGAACCATCAGAGGGTTTTGAGCAGGGGAGTTACCGGATATGATTTATGTTTTACAAAGTACATTCTGGCTCACATATGTGAATACGTGAAATACACGCTCAGGGAGATCAATTAAGAAGTTGTTGCAATAGTCCAGGTAAGAGATGATGGTACTTTGGGCCCTTGTACCAGGATGGCGGCAGTGAATGCAGTGAGAACTGAATATTTTCAGTTGAAGTTTGTAGGTTTTGGTTCAGGAGCAGACTCACTGCTTTTGCAAGAAACAAGCATCTGAATATGAGACTCTATTTGGGAGGCAATCCTAAGAAGCATGGTTGTAAGAGTCCGGGAAGTGAGCCAATCAAGGGAAGAAAGTCAACACAGGGTACATCAATGAACAGGCTACCACTGTGTGCCTGAGGCTTAATGCCACGGGCCCATTTCATTCTCCTACCAGAGGGAGAAGGGAGTTGGGGTGTTTATCCACCAATTTCCATCTATCATTGTTGAGGACGGCTCTTAGAAACTCCCTTAACACTCTGCCGTGCTCCTAGGCAGGGTGTGCACATTCTTTTGTGCTGAGGAAGTCCTCAGGCAAAAAGTCACAGGTGTTTCCAGGAGGCAGGCACTGGGGACACTGTGTGGAGGGGATATGGGCAGGTCACCAACATATCCACTGAGGACATGGACTGTGAAGGAGAGAGGGATGAAGGCTGAGGCCCAGACTGTTGGCTCGGAGAACTGAGTGGAGAGCCACTGAGATGGAGAAGAAACAGCTAGGGAGAAACAGGATTGGGAGGGAAGAAATAAGTGTGTTTTGGGTACATAAAGGGCTTAGAACAGTGCCTAGCACTTGCTGAATACTATGTGCTTCTTAACATGTTCAAAACAATAAGAACAACAGTAGCAGCGACGGCCACGTTTGAGATGACTATTCGACACCCAAGCGAAGATGTTGAGCAGGAAGTTGGACAAGAAGGGGAGGAAAGAGATGGGAGTCATCAGTTTAAGAGGAGAGAGACAAGTAAACGACCATATGGAATGACTTAACAGAGTTATGAGCCAAGTGTTATGGAAACACAGGGAGGGTATAGTTCAATGATGGCGAACCTATGACACGCGTGTCAGAGGTGACACGTGAACTCATTTTTTTTGGTTCATTTTTTTTGTTAAATGGCATTTAAATCTATAAAATAAGTATCAAAATATAAGTCTTTGTTTTACTATGGTTGCAAATATCAAAAAATTTCTATATGTGATACGGCACCAGAGTTAAGTTAAGGTTTTTCAAAATGCTGACACACCAAGCTCAGAAGGTTCACCATCACTGGTATAGTTAAGTATCTCAAAGAGAAGGAAGCCGGGCATTTAAAGGAGCAGGGACAGATTTAGCCAAGCTACAGAAGCATGAAGGTTGGGCAACACTTGGACTAGTGGCCCTTGCTTGTGGCCCTTGCACTGCTTCTGGGATGGAATTTGTAGTATCTTCAGTCTACACAGGTCCTTGTTAGTAATGCAGGGCAAAGGAGCACCCACATACCTCAATACACCAGCCTTGCCATTGCCTATCTATTCCTTGCTAGGTCCATCCTGAGCAAGGAGGAATCTGTATCCTGCCTGGTCAGAAATTCAGCCATTCAGCGGGCCATGTTTGACAGATAGGCAGGACCACTGACTATAAAAAGCCCAGCCCATGCATGATGCCCCCTTTCTTGCTTCTAGTCTCCCATGTGTTAAGCCAGCTTGGCTGGGTCATTTTTTAGAGCAGAGGTTGGCAAATTTTTTCTATAATGGGCCAGATAGTACACGGCTTGGGTTCTGCTGTCATTACTCCTACTCAACTCCACTGTCGTAGAGTGAAAGCACTTGCAGACAGAGTGCAAACAATGGGCATGGCTTCATTCCAATAAAACTATATTCACAAACACAGATGTTGGATTTAGCCTATGGCTATCATTTGCTGACTTTTGTGCTAGAACAGTGGTTCTCAACCTGTGGGTCGCGACCCCTTTGGGGGTCAAACAACCCTTTCACAGGGGTCGCCTAAGACCATCAGAAAACACATATATAATTACATATTGTTTTTGTGATTAATCATTATGCTTTAATTATGTTTAATTTGTAACAATGAAATTGGGGGTCACCACAACATGAGGAACTGTATTAAAGGGTCGCGGCATTAGGAAGGTTGAGAATCACTGTTCAAAAGGATGACCATGATCCTCAACTATACAGCAGCTGGGTAGGTAGAATTGATGCCCATTCCAGATGGAATGGAGATGAGGTGGGAGGTCCCTGCCTGGGCTTCCTGAGCTAAGTTATGTTCTCCAATTTAGCTTCCCCAGGGTTTTAGGTTGGGGTAATAGAGTGCCTTCCCAGCTATCAGGGGATCACAACTTTGTTGTGTGTCTGAAACCTTTAGACAGACATCCTGGGGGAGAAGCAAAACAGCAGTGTGGCTCTGGTCACCAATCTCTGCCTTAAATCCGAGTATGAGAAAAGTGCCATGGAGACAGTAACATGCTTATTTTACTGATGGAGGGCTTGCCTCCCCTGCCCTCTTCCTCTCCCTCATCCTCTTTTTGCTCCTCACTCGAGGTGACCACCACCCTGCATCCCTCTTGCCATCAGCACAGGCCATCTCTAGACTGCAAATGGCTCTTGCTTTTGCATGGAACTCTCTCTCTCTCAGATTCCAGGCCTTGGTCTCATCCTCCCACCGTAGCCCGGTGGCAACATCTGTTTCGGGGAACTTGCCAGGTCAACTTAGTATTCCTGGCTCTCTGCACGGGTGTGGCAGGCTGGTCTTAGTGGCAGCACTGAACTTCTCAATGTTCAAGCTTATATTCTGGTGGTGATTTCCTATCTGAAACCCTCTGTGATAAAAGCCAACTGTATACCCAATGATACCCACCAAAGTGGCATGAAAACAAGAAGAGGACACTCTGAATGTTTACACACTAATTTTCTGGGGAAAATATCTGTTGGGTACCTACTATGTACCAGGGTTCGGGTTACAGTTCACGTAAGGTTTTGTTATGGCTACACAGTAACATAATCTGGGGGAGCTTTAAAACTCCCAAAGCCATGGCCCTAGCCCAGACCAATGAAATCAGACTCTGGGGATGAGACGCGAGCATTGGTTATGTTTAAAGTTCATGGGTGAGTCTAATGTGCAGCCATGACTCTTGCAAAAAGTGAATTTACCTGGAGAAATACTTTCCCATGGGTCTCCTCACTGGTTTCTCTTGCTTTGGATCTGTCCCCTCCAATCCACTCTCCACTGTAATCAGAGAGATCTTTCTAAAATGTGAATAGGACCCAGTTACTCCCCGTGCCATGGTCTTCAGGATAAGTTCCAAAGTCTTTGATATAAGGTCCTTAATGACTTCACCCTGCATCGCCTCTGTAGCCTCAGTGCTTGCCCTTATATTAATATTCCAATGATAAGGAATGAAATGCAACACTGTAGACAATTTCAGGTGTTTCAAACTTCTGAGACTGACTTTACACATGCTGTTCCCTCTGCCTGAAATTCTCTTCCACCCGAGTCTACCTGGGAAACTTCTACATATCCTTCAAAACCCAGTTCAAGCATCTTCTCCTTTTTGAAACCTTCCCCGTTCACCCTCCCACCACCCCACTGCATCCTCAACAACTTAGTCACTTTTTCTATTATTGAGGGACTCTTCTACATCTAATAATTTGAATGTATTGTCTCCCAACTTGGTGATGGATTACTCCAGGGAAAGAATAGCATTTGTAACTCCAGAACCCAAGACTGGCTCTGTACTCCATTTGTGCTTGAATCACCCCTTTTGAATAAATTAATGAATGGGTAGATGGATGGAACAATGAGTGGGTAAGGTGGTTCCTGTGCATGCAGAAGGCAGAGATCCTGGAATCTCAGAGGGACAAGTGACTGGAAATCATCTGGTTGTGTGTCTATCCACAACTGCCTTCTAGGCAGCTGATAAGCTGATCTATAGCATCTGCTACTTGGATGTCCTTAGCAATGGGCAGCTCACTACCCAATAAAGCTTCCTGTCTCGCTTTTGGATGAACCCACTGGACAGTGTTTTGTTTATTCTGGCCTTTGCCCTGCTCCCTGGGCACTCCCCTCCCAAATAAGCAAGTACCCTCTGTACCGCGACACTGCAGGGATTTGATAAATGTCCCTGTCCACCCCTGGAGTCCTTGAATGACACGCAGTTGGATGTCTTCTCAGCATCCGACCATGCTTTTCAGGATGCACCCAGCATGCAGATCGCCTTTGAAAAATCTCAAACTAAACAAAACACCTGTGATAAAGGGTGCTTCTCTGTGGGAAACCATGCAGGACCCTGTCACAGCCCTGGGCCCTCTGCCTCCCCCTGGCAGGGCTGAAGAACAATTTGGAGCTTGGGGGCCAGGAGGATGGTGACAAAGGCAGAAGAGGCAAGGCCGAAGGGAGCCGCCCACCCAGGTGTGAGCTGTAAGGATCCCCTAATTGGTATACTTTGATCACACATCCATTTCCCTTTTTAGGGAGCTGCAATCTAATAGGGGATAATCTCTTGAAAGAAAAAAAATACGAGGGGGTAAAAGTATGAGAGAGAGACTCATCTCCATCTTCAAAGCAAGCCAGCGAGGGCATTATTTTTACATCAGCGGCTGGTTACAGTAGATTGACCAGGGAATTGTGGCAGTCATTAGGAGCTAATCACATTCTTTTGAAACCAAAATTGCCATCTCATTATCTCCATCCATTATCAGTCTCTGCTTTCCTTTTCCCATTCTCTTCTCCTTAGAGGACTGAGCTCTATTTTCACACTCTTGTCTGTGAAAATGTTTCCTACTCTTCAACAGTGCTGCTTCTCTAAGATGATCTCTCTCTCTCTCTCTCTCTCTCTCTCTCTCTCTCTCTCTCTCTCTCAGACCTAAAAGATGTATGTAGGGATGTCTTATTCACAGAATCCTCGAAAGTCAGATCTGTAAAGATCTGATGAAAAAAATTATTACCTCATTTTACAGATCATTAAAGTGATGTCCAGACAGGAAATGACTCGCTGAGTAATATGCACTGAATGGGTCTGCTCTCCTCCCTCCCTCCCTTCCTTCCACAGTGACTATCCGGGTGCTGGGCACCGTGCCGGGTCCTAGAAATAACAGCAATGGACATGGCAGGCGATCTCATGAATTTTATGTGTTAGTTGTGGGAAGGTGCAGACGATAAACAGACGCACAAGGCAATGGTTTCTAGTAAGTGCTGTGAAGACAATTAACAGGGTGCTGGGACAGATTGTGATTTAGGACAATGGGCTACTTTAGGTGGGGTTAAGAGGGCAGGACTGTTTGAGAGAAGACATATGAGAAGGAGAAGAGCAGCCCCTGTCTCCTGGGGGCTGGCACAGCACTCACAGCTGGACCCTGGCGACCTCCGGTTGAACACAGACAATTTCACATGATGCCAGCATCAGACATGGCTACTCCGAGATCAAGATGGAGCAGACCCAAACCTGGCCACTCTGCAGTCATATACAAACACAGACAAAAATATGAACATTGCCCAAGCCAAAAATAAATGACCAAACATCTACTCTGGCTAATATGAGTGACTGCTTTTTCTTTGATATTTACAGCTATAGCCTCAATCTTATGTTCCCTTCTTAGAGTTAAGATTTACTAAAATACTCAATCATTCCTCTCCCTACCACTGTCTAGTTGGGAACAAAGCCCTAAGTCACCTAACACAGCTCACCCACATTCTATGAGTCCCTTCAAACATCCTCTGCCCAAGCTGTCCCTTAGTTCCTAACCAGCTTGTTCAACTCCAAGTGTGTTCCCACGGGTCTCCTTTGACACACTTGAGCTGAAAATGAAGTGCTGAGCAGAAGCTGGGAGAAGAACGTGCCAGGCTGAGGGACAGTGAGTGCTGCGGCCCTGAGATGGGACGAGCTTGATGTGTCCTAGAACTTGAAGAGAGGCTCTCCAGAGCAGAGTGAATGAGAGTGAGGGAAGCGACATAATGTGAACGGGGAGGGGTGTTGCTCAATTGAGATCTGGTGGACCCCAGGTAAGAATGGGAGTTTAATTCTAAGTCAGTGGGAGTGCTTTGAACATTTTTTAAGCTGGAAGGCTGAGCCAGTCCAGCATCATGACAAGTAGCTAACAGCATTTGTCTCTTTTTTAAAGATATTTTAAAAATTAATTTCAGAGAGGAAGGGGGAGGGAGAGAGAGACAGAAACATCAATAATGAGAGAGAATCATTGATCAGCTACCTCCCGCATGTGCCCAGACCAGAAATTGAACCATGACCTCCTGGTTCATAGGTTGACCCTCAACTCCTGAGCCATACCGGCTGGGCAGCTCTTGTCTCTTAAACCCTTCCTTCATCCTTGCTGACAGGCTTCACAGACTCTAGGATAAAATTGTCATCTGGTTCCTGCCCCAGACTAACTCTTCCTATGGTTGCAACCCACACATCCACACATCCACACATCCATCCATCCATCCATCCATCCATCCATCCATCCATCCACCCACCCTCCCAACTACAGAGCTGTACCCCCAGGAGGCAGTGTGGGCTCAGACCACATGACCACAGTCACAGGCTTCTTATGTCCTGTTGTGCTGAGTCAGCCCATAGGACTGTGCGACCTGCCCCAGTTTCCCCATTTACTACTTTAATTTCCAACTAGAACTGAGAATTGTCCCTGGTGCCTCCTTGGCTGGTTCCTTCTCCCCCTGTCGATTTGGCCTTGCGGAGATACAGGGTCCTTTCTGATGCTTGCCACCCTTCTTTGCATGCTCTTCTTTGCACTTAAGCCTCTTGGAGTTATTCCCCAAACAGTGAGATGTCTTGATAGAACAGAGCTTCTAAGAGCAGCTCACCTCCAATCCAAGACTGAGAACATCCTGGTCCATTTAATTCACCTGTTCATCCACTCTCCTCAGCAGATTCTGTCAATTCTGATGCCGCCTCATTCCCTTTGGCTTGGCTGTATCCTTGGAGATAATTGGAAGTGATATGCCTTGAGGTGAAGCAAAACCAGGCCTGGGGGATGCTGACCCAGCAGTTCCTGGCTGATGCTTCAGAGCACAGCAAGGGCCTGCTTCCTCCATGACCAGTCCTGGCGGCCAGGATTTTCCTGCGCCCCTGCCCACAATTGTACTCTCCTGGGCAGGGAAGATTTCAGTCTTCACCATGGAGGTGCCATTTTTACCTTGGCCTTTCATTCATTTTTCTTGTCCAGAAATATCTCTTAATACCTCTTGTCCACTAGCTATATGAGGCAGGGAGAACATGGAGCTTTGCCAAAGACAGAGGGAGTGTTTGAACATTTTTTTCTGCAAATCATCTCACCACTCCAAGTCTCTGTTAATTTTCCCGACAATGACGTCAATAATATGCCTTTCAGTTTAGGGTTGGGGGAAGGGTTTGACTATGAAGGGATAGCACGGGAGGAGGAAGGGAGATTTTTGCTGATGGAACTCTCGTGTATTCTGATCCTGTTGGTGTTTGCATGACTATAATTTGTGAAAATGCATAGATCTGTACACCTCCCTCCCCAAAATGAATTTTACACTATCTAAATGAAAAACATAATGTGCTTCACGCAGTTCTGTGATGACCAGTGATTATTGAGAGAATGCCTCCAGGCACCCAGCACAATGCCTGTTCCGTAGTAGGTGTTCCGAAGCTCTCCCATCCCAATCTTTCCCAAGAATATGCTATTGGGTCCCCCTGGATCACTCCTAAAATTCACTCTCTGCCTCTCTTTGATTAGAAACAGCCAGTTTACTGTCACAAGACCAAAGATGGGGACTCCTGGCAACATCCCTACTGCTTTGTCCTGGACCCAAGGATTCCTAAAATGTAGGACCCTATGATTTCACTCATGTGTAGGAAAGCAACAAATGAACAACAGGAAAAATAAACAAATAAAAACTCACAGGCACAGACAACAGTATGCTGGTTACCAGCAAGAAGGGGGCTGGGGGGGTTAGTCAAAGGGGTCAAATACATGGCGATAAAAGAGGATTTAACATTGGGTGGTGGGCACACAATGCAATATATAGATGATGTATCATACAATTGTACATTTGAAACCTATATAATCTTATTAACCAATGTCACCCCAGTAGATTTAATTAAAAATAAATAAAACTGGTACCATTCTGGGGAAACTGGGACAAGTTGCTTACTTTAGGTGCAGGTTGGACAAAGTATGCAGGGAGTGAGAAAGTTTTATAAGCTCTTGGAAGCCTAAGGTGTGGTCGCCATTGTGGTCCCTGGGTTTAGTGAACTCCCATGTTTCCC